GGATAGTGTTTAATATTTTTGTTTCTATCTATCTACCTTTGTATATTTTTCTTATTTCTTCTCTCTTTCCTCTCCTTGTCTCTTTCTTTTTCTCTCTTTCTATCATTAGTTTCAATAGAAATCTCGTATCGCGCATGCGGCCGACCTCGATGGTGCTTTTCACCGCAGGAACTCTAACACGCGAAATTCTACGAAGAGACGAGGACGAACAGTCAGCGTCGAGCCGCGTTTCCGCTCCGCTTTCGCGTTCTTTCGCGAGAGGACGAGATGAAGAATTATTAATTCGTCGTCCTCTCATCTTCCAATAGATTTTATAAATTAACAAAATTAATCATTTCGAAAATCTCGTACGCAAGAGAGAGAAAAAAAAAATAGAAGGAAAATAATAATCGAAGGAAAAAATTTTTTCGCATATAATATTGTGAAGAATAATAAGATTTGCGAAAAAACAAAAACAAAACAAACAAAAAACAACAAGAAAATAATAATAGATAAAAGAGATTTTGATAGATAAAGAAGATTTTGATTAAAAGAAAATTAATTCATTATTCGCGTTAAATTCGTTTGAAAATCATTTATTAGTATCTATTACGGTCCCCCCTTCACCTCCTCCTCCCCTCTCCGCCCCTTCTTATCCACCCACCGGTTTAATATCGTTCAAACGTAAGCTGCGTTTAATCTTACGCGGGTGTTTTTTCTTTTTTGTTTATTTATTTTTGTTTTTTGTTTCGAAGCATGGCTATCATGCAATCCTGTTGTTGCTGGCAATCAGTTCGCAGAGGGAGTTACGCTTGTGCCATTTATACCGGAGTAAGTAACACCTCAGTCTACGATTGATTTCACCCATTTTCTAATGAAAGCCTAAAGGGGAAGTACGTTATAATGGAAATTCGATTTTTTTGTTGGAAAAATGTTTTTTTCACTTATCATTTATTAAGAATTATTGAAAAATAATTATTATCTTTTTTCCTTTAGCAAACATCATTATCATAACGATCTAATATTCGAAAATAAACTTTAGAAACGTTATCCCTTTCATCGAAGATATTTTGCAACTAATTTGATAAACGCGCCGCGAGCTTTCAATTATATTTTCTTATTACTTGTAGTTTCGAACATCGAGCTATGTAAACGTCACATTTGTTCGATACACTATAAAAGACACATCGAAAACCGTCAATCTATCTTTTTCCTATAATATTTCATATATGATATATATTTCTATCATAATTATTATATTTTATCGTTATTACTTTCCTCTCGTTATTTCATATATCATATATTCCGATGTAATCGATAGATGGGAATGTAACGACCAATGGGTCTGGTCTCGTTCATTTAACTGACGTTCGCTAATATTTCTGATCGTTTGAGACAATCTAGAAGTAGTCCATGTGGTTACAATGTGGTCCAACCTATACCCTGTTGCTGCTGGTCGATATTTGTGTCTTACTTTTATATAGTTACACCCATAGTTATATTATAACCGTATAAACGTGTATTACATTTTAATTAAGATCGAATAGCTAAATGATACGAGAACGTAACACGAATTTTTTCATGATAATCCATTTAAACAACAACAAAAATATATAATATTCATTTGGAAATATTTTATATTCAACGTATTTCAATTTAAAAGCAACGTGTTACGCGAAACCCGTTAGTTTTGAATTCGTAATAATCATTGATCAAAAAAATACGTGCGTGCTTTTAACAAAATTGATTACTTAAGTGAATTGTAAACGTGCTATTATATATATATATATATATATATATATATATATATAGATCGACTATACAAATAGAATTATTTACAAAAAAAAAATTTATTCGCCGTTTTAATTCAAATCTAATGTAAACGAAGCAATACGTTATTCATAATTGACAGGAGAATTCGTGGAAAATTGAAAAATCAGAATATTCAAAACTCACTCGCGTAATAACAATTCATTTAAAGGTTCGGAACGTGAGTATATTCTTTCTCCTTTTTTCTTTCGCGTTTGCAAAAATTTGATTTTTATCAGCAACAATACAAAATTTAAAAAAAAAAGAAAAAAAATCTAAAAAAGAAATATTCGTTCACTTTCTGATATCATATATTAAATTCGCGAGAAATGATATATCGAAAAACAAACAAAATATATTTCAAATAAAATAAGGAAAATTAAGGCATAATACAAAATCGTAGGATTCACCTTATGATCTGACGCATTCATCGACCCATGGGAAATTTCATAGCGGTGAACAAAATATTATAGTTAATTTAATCGCGAAAATGTGATTCCCTTCGTTTCGTTCTTATCATTATCACGCGATGCATCCATTCATCTATCCATCCATCGGAATGATAAATTTTCATTTAAATTTACAAGTCTCATTTTTCAATTGTTCCAAAACATCGTAAGCGCAATAATACTTATCTTGTGTTAATTAAAAACTGATTTTTCTCACGGGTTAAAAGTTTTTTATATGTTTAAAAAAACATGTTATTAATATTCGTTTGAAATTAAAATACCTTTAATAATACTTTAATAAAGTATCCTCACAAATGTTTTCATTTTAATATTATGACGCTCACCGATCGTTAAAAAGTTTCTGTTAATACTTACAAATGGAAAAACGAAAAGAAATATTTAATTTAAACTTGTTTTATATTTGCAAATGTACTAATTTACAAATTTTACTTTTACTACTGTTACTAATTAGAAATTTTCTTCGAATTTATTTCTCTCTCTCTCTCTCTCTCTCTCTCTCTCTCTCTCTCTCTCTCTCTCTCTCTCTC